AAGATAAGCCTCACTGTAGGCCTATAAAACCAGCTTTCTGGGGTGGCCGGTTAGCTCAAGTGGTTAGAGCACTGTGCTCTTAATACCAAGGTTGCCAGTTCAATTTCCACATGGGCCAATCAACTACGCCCTCCACAACTAGATGGAAAACAACGACTTGACTTGGAGCTGATGGGTCTTGGAAAAACATACTGTTCCCCAATAAAGTTTAAAACAAAACAAAACAAAACAAAAACCCCAGCTTTCTGAGAGAGTGTCCACATGATTCACGTCCCTTTTCTCTGGGAAGGGCCCTGGCCCCGGCAGTGCTACCATGAGGGTTTATCTTTGCTGTCCCAGACCCAACATGCACCCCCAAAGTCTCCACCTACACATCCCATTCCTAGAATGTTTTGTCTTGCCTTTCCCCTTGGCTCCTGTGCCCATGTTTGCCTCTGAGGCTGAGACAAAAGCTGCTGGATCTCTGCCACTCCATAAGCAAAGAAATGGAAGCATCAAATTTCAGAGAAAAATGGTAATGAGTGGATACAAATACTTAGGTTTTTGTTCCTTTACAAGACCTTCCAGATAGGCAAGCAAGAAGTTTGGGGGAATTGCACTAATGTGTGTATACTTTCAGGACATTTCGTTTTCAAGGTCTGATATTGTCTCCGAAGGGACTTTTTCTTTGAAAAGACCAGCAAGTCTCTCATCTTTATCTCTCGTTAGCAGTTTCCTCCCCACGTGTTACGAGGGGAGATATCAGTCACCAAGCCAGCCCGTTGGCTGGATCCCTGAAAAAAGCCCTAGCAATACTCCACATGGCAAACTTCAGGCCATCCCCTTCTGCGTTCACACTGGAGAGATCGGAGGCTCCAGGTCACCTGGGCTGGCGGTGGTGACTCATCTTCCTGACCCTGAGCGGAGGAGAGCAGTGCGTTTGGTGCACAATGTGTGCCTTGTCAACAGTCCGCATCCTGTTGGCCAGGAAAACACTGCCTCTTCCCAGGAAAGGCTTTGTCTGCAGCTGGACAGTACCCGTGGACAGAGGCCACTGAGTCATGGAAGAAAACCAGGCTGACTCCAGGGCTTCTGTGTTTGCAGTGGGAAGAAAGGTGCCCCATTTTCATACCCAACCCTGTCACCCAAACAAATAGGTAACTCGAGCCCCACTTGTTAAAAGGGTTTTATGGCCCATTATTAAAGGGAAACAATGGCAGCATACATGATGAGTACCAAGGAAGGCATAGAGCAATAATTATTCTGAAGAGGTCCAGTAGGTGATCCCTCCTGGCCCCTCCTGGCCCTCTGATTCTAGAGGAGCTCATTCATCAGAGTTCTCCACCCTCCACCCCATGACTCTTCTCTTTCCCTGGCCTTAGTCACAGATCACTTATTTATTTAGCCAGTTATTTACTCCCTCCCTTGCTCCATAAAAACGTTGAGCCAGCTTATAAAAATACACAAGAGTAAAGGATGGAATAAATGACCAAGATAAGCAATGAAGAAAAGGGGAAGTTGACAGAGTCAGCAATGAGATGAGCACATGGAAATGTCGATCATACGATGTTATTTGGTTACTATAAGTAGGATGAAAATTTGGATCTAGGAGTCCTAGGAGCCACTGAAAAGAGAAAAACATAATCAGGCGGGAAGGTGCATGTCTCCCAGTAAGTCAGGAAAAGATCCACTTTTCTAATGCAGAGATCAGAAGGAAGTGAGAGATCACAGTTACACTTGCCGGGCACGTAGGCCAGAAACTGAGGTAAACACTCTTCCGACATTTTCTCAATTGATTTTGGCAATTGTGTGGGGTCGATACTATGATGATGTTCATTTCACAGATAAGGAAACTGAGAATTTGAGAGAAAGTTAGTAATTGCCGAAGACCAGAGAGTTAGTCAATTGTAGAAAGGAGATTAAAACCTAGGCTATCAGTGTCCATGTCTGGGGGCCAAACCAGAAAGCTCACGCTGCAGGGCCCTAGGGGGTTATTTCCAGCAACTGATAAATTAGGGATTTTTGTAGGGCTGTGTCTCCTCACCTCTCTCAAGGCAATTCCTTCATATAAGCACAAAAGCATAAACCAGATGAAGTTCAATGAAAGCAATTCTTTGAACCAAACCAGTTTGGCCGTGTGCTTAGTTCTTTGATGATCTAATTTCCTTCTCTGTGTAGATATAAAAATATTGCAGATTCTATCAGGAAGTTGATCAACAGGTATTTCCTCAAACCACAAGTCATTCTAATGCATCCCAAACCAACTCCAGCACGCTTTATTTATACCCTGAGAAATTTGAGGCTGATGTCTTCGGCCTTACCACTCCCATGCCTACCTCTATACGGGATATACTCTTACAGCCAACAGAACACACATGAAGACTTCTGCGCAGAACATCAAGGGGGCAACTTCACCTGCCGTGTGGTTCTTTCCTTTCAACCTATTCCTTGTGAAATGCTTTAGGAATGGGTATTCCCTCTATTCAAGTCCTCATACAATTCAGGCAGCATTTCTCAAACTTTTAGCTTCCACAAGCTACTTCAAGCTAATGTAGACCACCAATTTCAGGTTAAAAAAAAAATGCATCACAATTTTTAGTAATAAAAACATCATATTCTTTTTAAAAACATTTTATTATGGAGACATTCAAACATATGACAGTAGGATAGTATAATGAACCCCCATGTACCCATCACTCAACTTCAACAACTATTGACTCAGCCAATCTATTTCAACACTACTCCCATCCACTTCCTCTCTCCCATATTAGCCTGAAGCAAAACCCAGATATCATCATTCCACCCATAAATATTTCAGTAAGTGTCTCTAAAAGACATGAATCTTTTCTATTAACATTATAAGACCATTTTCACAACTAAAAGTATTTATAAAGTTCCTAAATATCATCAAATATCAAATTTCCAATTTTTCTCAAAAACGTTTTAAGCTTTTTGCTTGACTCAGGATCCAAATATGGCTCACATATTTCTATCCGATAGAACATTATTTTAAATAACACTAATCATTTCATGCATTTGTAAGGGGGCATCATTTTCAATCTCTTCCCAAGGTATCTGTCCTATTTGATCAGGTTTCTTTACTTCAGACTCCATTGGTTTCTTTCCTTACCCTTTATTTTTACTAAGTCAAGCACTCCCAACTCACAGTTATAAGTCACTAGAAACAGAATCAAGTGTCTGATGTTTCTTTCCAATGGCAAGGGATTCAGAAATGAATGATTCCTCACTGAAAGCACTTTAGGCCCAGTTACAAAATCCATTCAAAATCCGTATGCATGCATGCTTTAACTTGGGAGATGGGGGCAAAATGTGTCCCTGTCATCCACACAAGCTGCTCCAAGCTCTGGAAAGCATTTGGTTCAACATGATAGGCAGTTCTAAACTATGCCCAAGAATAGATTGCTCGCCTCTTAAAGTGAAGACAAATATCAGATATTGGGAGAGAGTTCAGCTCCACTCAGAGCAGACTGGACCTCAGTTTCGTCTTAAGAAAACAATCTGGTTTCTCAGCTAATTGTTTTCTCTTTTAAGAGGCTGACTTTATCCTTTGGATCCTACAGGCCAATGCCAGAATTAACAAGATATCTGAGACAAATCACCAGTGGACATGCCATGATAGGCAAAGTCAGGTTCTCATCCAGAGTTGTGGAAAGGCCCTTTGATGGCATAAGGGAAAGTAGAGAGGTGGGGATCAGCCTATAGAAAGAGCTGTTAGGAAGACACTGAAACATCCAGGCAAGAATTGATGTGCTCCTGAAGCTGAGTAGGAAGGAGGAGGGCAGATGGAGAGGAATGCGAGAAAAGAAGAGGGGTCTTAGGGGCTGACTGACGGTAAGGGGTAAAGATGGAAGAAGAAGGAGTCATTAATGACATTCATGTTTCCAATTACAGTGCTGGGAGTCAGTAAAAAGGAATCCTAAATACACACACACACACACTCACACTCACACACACCTCCGTCTCCAAATTGCCCATGGTCCTGAGATGGAAACGGCCAGCTGATCTGTGGAGAAAACATACCCTATGTAAAATACTCTCTCTGTAGTTACAGCAAGGGTTCTCAACACTGGCTGCACATGAGAATCACCTGGGGAGTTTAAAAAGGACTATGCCCAGGCCCCAGCTCAGGCCAGTTGAATTAGAATCCCTGGGCATTTTACATCTCCCGCCGCCTTCCCCACAACACAGGTGTAGCTAACATGCAGCCAGGGCTGAGAGCCGCTAGGCCAGGCATGGACAGCAAGGGTTACCACAGCGCAAGATTACCCGCCTGTTCCAAAATCCATAGGAGGACTAATTGTTGGAACTGGTCACAGCGTGAAGCTTAGTTTGGCTCAGCTTGGCCCCCTGTTGCTTGGGGTGAGTGGAACGACCTGACCTTGGGAACTCAGTTCTCCGGCACAAAGAGGCTGGCAAGGCCAGCCCAGTGGGGGAACAGGAAAGAGGGGAGCCAGGTGTCCGGCACACGTGCTTCCCCTCTGCCTGAGGAAGGTGGCCGTTCTCACACTCTGTGAGTCACATTCACGCTGGGGTGTTTACCAAATGCAGATGCTGGGCCCCACTCCCTGCATGGGTCAGAAGATCTACAATGTGTGGCCCAGGAATCTGCATTTTAATGGGCCCCAGGTGATTCTAGGAGAGGGTTCACCGCACACACGCCCAGAAACCCTGAGAGGCCTGCAGGGGGAACCGTCTGTGGACCCCCATGGTGGACATGTACAGGGCAGGAGTTCTCTTTCGTCTTGGACCCTGGCCCAGGAAACCGAATAGGCAGGTCAGGTCTGAGGTAGCACCTAGCAGTCAGCAGTCAACGTTAGAACAGTCTTAGTGGGGCTCTATCCAACTTGGGGGACCTTAATGGGGAAAATGTGCACCTGCCCCAAGTTTTCATTGTTTAATAGAAGATGGAAGCAAAGCAGGAAGGGCCCTTGGCTCACTTACGCCATTTCACCAAAAGGGAAACGGTGGTGGTGGGGGAGGGGTTCCTAGGCTGACTGCTGGCAGGAAGCGCAGGAGCGAGAGGAACCCAAGAAGCAGAGATAACTTGAGTTTTAGCAGTTGGTTTCAGTGTGGGGTCCCTGGACCAGTACCATCAGTATCGTTTGCTAGAAATGCAAACTCCAGGGCCACACCCCACACCTGCTGCATCAGACTCATGGTCTGTTACCACAAAGCCCCAGGTGATGCTGATGTGGTTCAGGTTTGAGAACCTTGCACCAGAGGCTCAAATGTTTCAGTGCTCATGGTCTTGGGGAAGGTTCCCCACCTCTCCTGCCATCACCTCAGCCCCGTTTTGTGTGTGTGTGTAGTGGGGGAGTCACACAGCACCCCTCCAACTCTCTCCACTAGTTATTAAGAAGGTGCTGAATGACACAGGGGCTGCTTTGCGTCTGGAGAGAAGGAAGCCAGTTTCCGGGCAGCTGCCACCTGCCCCGCCGGCTGCTCTCCTGGCTGACTCTCAGCTTTGTTTTTTCTTTTCTCTAAGCCTGGAATGGGGTACAGGAGAGCATTTCCCTCAGAAAGAAAAGGCACCGGGGTGCCTAACCCCCCAAAGTAAAGGCAGCTCTGGCCCAGACACCCCAGGGTCTGGTTCCACTGTCCTCCCTAGAGAAGTATGGGAGTAGGGCTCAGAGACTCAGGGCGCATCTCCGCACTCTCCTTCTGGCCCAGGGGTACTTCCTCTTCCCGTGGGATGAGAAAGCAAACATTGCCTTTCTGCAGCAGGCTTTGCTCAAAGGGGCCGCGTCCTGGGTCAGGACCAAGGCCCTTCTTAGAAGGGGTGTCAATGTTCATACCCGAACCTCCAGAAATGAGTTTTAGGCAGCTTGGGCTGCTGCAACGAAATGCCACAGACTGGGTGGCTTAAATAACAGACACATCTCTCTCTTGGTTCTGGGAAGAGAGGCTGATTCTCAAGCTGAGGCTCAGGGCGAGTCACTCAGCCCTTTCTATTCCAGTCCCAACCTTGGGCGTCTTCCAAGTATTCTGATCAAAGAGAAAAACTAATATGCTCTAAAGAGGGAGTCACTAGGATCAGGGATCACCCAGCCCCGTTGTCAGGATTCATTATAGAGACTTTAAATGTGTTATAAGAGAGTTCACAACTTTGAAGCCAAAATTCGGGGACGTACTTGAGTTAAATTAAAAGCACAATTTTATATTTTCTTGTCAAACAACTTTACTTGAGGCAACACATGAAGTATAATTCAACTCAACAGGAAATATCACACTTGGAGAAAAAACACAGAGGAAAAAAAAAAAACCACTTAAATTAAAGCCAACATTCTTTCCAAGGCACAGCACTGACATTTCCAGATTGACAGCAGAATGAGTTTGTTTCTGTAAAACAGAATCATTAGTCCAAAGTCCGCCTTTGAAACAGTTGTGCACTTCACCTTCCTTCTCAAGGTTCAGGGAACGATGCTTGTGGCCTTTCTCAGGGCCAGGTAACCTGTGACAACGTCAGAGGGCAGCCTCCGAATGTAGGAAAACTCTTCAATGGTGCTGAAGCGAAGCTTGCTCTGGGGGTCAGTGTAGTTGGCCTGAGTGGGAAACGGGCACGGAGAAGGGCAGAGCATTGGTGGTGGTGGTGAATATTTTAAGTTCAAGTTAGAATTTTTTTTTCTATTTTACTGAAAGTGAAATATATCTTCATATCTTACCCTGTCACCAAGAACACTAAATTGCTCACTTTGGCAAAAACGTGTTCATCTTCCCAGACTTGAAAAATACTTCAGAGTATGGGTGGGAGGAAGGGGAATAACTACATCAGACACAAGGATTCTTCTGGTTGGTACCTCAAGGGCTACAAGCAACAGGTCCAAAACTGAATCCACGATGATCATCCCTCTGATCCCTGCCTTCAAACTCCCATCTCCTTCAAACAAATGTTCCAGACCTGTTCCCCCAGGCAGGGAGAGGTACCACCATGCGCTGGCACATCCGCCCCTCCCTGCGACCCTCCCTACTCCCAGTGCTCACCTCTCCCACTCTTCCAGCCCCTCCCCATACCATGTCCGTGGCTCCCTGGGCTCCACTGCAGTGATGGACTGGCCACCCACACACATTCGTTCCCTGGAAGGGACGGCCATCCTACAACTGCAATCAGGGTCATCTTTGCAACTTGTAATTCTGCTCAGTTCTTCATGAAACCTCTCCATGGCTCTTCTCTGTCCTCAGGACAAAGGCCCAAGCCCTCAGCATGGCTCCTCAGTCCCTACCAGGGCCCCGCCCTCCTCCTTCCCACGCCCCTTCCTGGTCACATGACCTCGCTCACTGGTTCCAAGGACCCTGGCTCTAAGCCCCTCCCTTCTGTCATGCCCCATTTGCCATTTCCTTGGGAGGGAACTCCAGCCTGGCCCACTTTGCTCAGTAATCGCCTGTTCATCCTTTAGGACTCAGACCCCAAAGTCAAAGCATCAGGGAAGCCTTATCTGCCTTCCCACAGGTCAGAACCCCACCCTGACTGTCACCTGTCACCTCACCATATGTGTCTCCTGTGGAATGCTATCTCTGTTGCTTTTACTGTTATTTTCTGAGGCAGGAACCCTGTGGCGTGCATATCACTGAATCCCGGCTCTTAGTGTAATGCAGAGCATACAGTGGGCCTTCGGTCAGTGTTTGCACAGCAAATTATGAATGAATGAATGAATGAACGAATGAATAAACAAATGGGCAATCAGGACCATCACAGAAGAGACCTTGTTTCCCACTGACATATCAAAATTCTCTTCTGGTTTGGTTTTCCCATGTGCAGAGTGGAGATGATAATTCATTCACTATATACCTCAAGGCACATGGCTTCCACACATTTTGAAGCAGAAAACATGAGAGTGAGTCATTTGGAGCTCCTTTAAAAAATTATAAAAGATGCCATTAAAGTCTAGACAGATAACGTCCAATTACTGCATTGTGGATTGTCTGCTCTGAGGCTGATCATCTCCGTGGACTGAGATGCAGCCACGCTGTGATTTAATCAGGGAGGGGACTGGAAAAGCAAGGAGCTGAGGGGAACTGAGTCATAGGTTTCTCATACTCTTAAGGTCTCCAACTTCATCACTGGGGACCTCCTTAGGTATTTCACATCCGTGTGAGTGTCAGGAAAGTGAGATTATTTCTAAATAAACTAAGATTGATTAAAGCTCTCTAATAAAACAAAACTTGATCCTTTGGATTGATCTAGATATTGCCTGCACGCACCACGTTTCCTTCGATGACAGTAATATAAAGAAAGGCTTCAATAGAACAATGCAACGAGTCCCTTTTGAGGCTCCTGGCCACAAGGCAGTTAGATGAGCTAGCTGGCGGGGGAGCTGCCCTCAATTTCCAAGCAGGGGCACGGGCACGTGCAGCTGGCTTTGATCAGCCAGCCTCCATATATGAACCAGCCCCAGCCTGGCTCCATTCCTGGGGCTGCTTCACTCCCACCACCAAACTGTGCTGAGCCAGCCCACCCAAGTTCAGAACTCACTGCCAAGGCTACTGAATAAATAATGCAGAATACAGAGATACTGTGGCACCAACGAAAAGGTCACCAACAAGAACTTACACAGACTGGACCTGACCTAGTATTCTGAACAGAGGGGAGGATGCCAAGTGACGCCACACAGTTGAACAAGTAAAGAACGGCAGGCGCTCCTGCAGTCAGAACCTCCCCCGGATTCCAGCCCTGGAGCCTGAAGGCAACACAGGCCGCCTTCTGGGAGGGCAGGCAGCAGCTTTCAGGCCCTCGCTGCAGGACGACAGGCAGTACTCACTGCTCCCCCATCTCTCCTAGGGCCGCTGTCCTTTCCATAGCTTTGTAACAAGGGCTACACACAGGTGTGACCCCGCATGCCTCCCTGCCATGACCTGCCACAAGGGAAACAGTCATTGGGCTGGCTGGGAACAGGTGGGTCAGTGTAAATATGAGCTAGGCTTCATTTTGTAATTGTGTAATATTAATTTATACAAGTAACAGATGAATATGTTTTCCTCTAGAAAAAGAAAACATTATGAGTAAGACTGAAGTCCCCTTCTACCATCAAAGTCCTTTGCCTTCCCCTGAGGAAATCATTGCTAGGAGGGCACCCTTCCAGCCCTGGTTTATATACCCCCTGACACATGTCTAGGAACACACCAGAGACATTACCCTGTATTCTCTTGTGAGTGTGTGTTGGTTTTAACTTAGGTGGTACCATGCTGCCTACAATGCTTTGCACCTTGCAGTAAACAATGTATCTTGCAAGTTTATCCATGTTGTTAACATAGTTTGTACATCAAGCTCTCAGCAGTGTGTGAAAACACCCCCTCCCATTGATTGACCTTTAGGTTGTTTCCAATATTTTGCTAACACGTTTTCTCAGGAGCATTTCTGCAGGAAGCTCCTTGTATACACTATTTCTCTAGGGAGCTGCTTAGAAGGCACATTGCTGGGTCTTAGGCTTTTGCTTTCTTGTCCCAGTAGGTAGTGCTGAACCGTCCGCTGAAGAGTCTGTACCAATGTAGATTCCCACCTCAAAACAGCAATGTATGAGGATATCCACTTCTCTAAGTTGGTGACACTGAATATAATCAAACATGTTCATTTCTCCCCTCCCTGATGAGTCCTTTTCCTAATTAATAGTGAGGTTCAACATCTACTTATTGGTCAGCTCTATTTCCTCCTTGTAATTGTCTATTCATATCCTTTCAGCCAATTCTTCTATGGGATTTTCTTTTCAATGATTTTGTAGAGTTCTTTGTATATTCAGAATTTCTTAATTCTACATACAGTAGGGCAGGAGGTTTTAGGTTATGTATAACATGCCAAGTCCTTTGCCAATGGCATATAGGGGCCTGGAACAATGCTTCTCACAATGAGTCTCGTGCCTCCTAATGTGGGAAAACCACTGCACTAGCAGATGAGCTGCCTGATGATGGTAAGGATAAAACCACCTTCCGAGGGGCCACCAACCAAGTCTGGCCATAAACTGAGCTTCTACAAGCTTAGTGCAAAATGGGAGAACATTTCCACTTTGGATCATAACAGAATAACTGGTGCCAAGTTAGCTCTTTTGCAACTATTAAAACGGGTTAAACAGGGCCGGCCGAGTGGTGCATTGGTTAAGAGCTGGCTTGGGACGCCAGAGGGCCCCGGTTCGGATCCCACATATGAGAGCCAGTGAAGCTAAGATGCTGAACAACAGCTCAACCTGGAGCTGGGCTGCTGTGAGTCGCCAGTGACGGTGTAGGCTGCAGTCCCTGCTGCAGTGGGTTACCATGGGCTACCGTGTGTAGCCAGCAGCCAGCTATGAGCTGCCAGCAGCCGCCATGAGCAGCCATCCAGAAGCCGGAGACTGATCTGCCTCACCCGGGAAGAGCGCAATGATGGTGCCAACTTGGGCCAGTGAAGCAACGTCCTCCACAACTAGACTGAAGAACAAAAGGACAGCAACTTGTCTGTTCCCCTTCCCCCAATTCCCCAATAAAAATCTTTAAGGAAAAAAAAAGGGTTAAACATAGGAGGCAACTATTTTCAGGTAGTAGACAGGAGACAGCATAAGGGTACAACATTTCTGTCAAGGAGAAGTCCCTCAGGGGACCTTTGGGAGGAGATGCATGCCATGAATGGATGCTAGAAGAACCTACCACACACCCACGCCATTTTACAGCACTTCTTCTCCCTGTCGTTTTTTAGGATCATTGTGTTTAAGGATCTATGTTAAAAAGTTTGTAAAACGCTGAGGAGTGTGTGCTTTCTAGAGGAAAAGCTAAAACATATGACTAATTCAGAGTATAACTAACATTATTTTCAAAAATACAATAAAAACTCAAATCCTTCCCAATGTAAAATGTGTAGCATTCATTTAGTCAGTGTGTTACAGAAGTTGGAGTCACACGTTTTCATAAAAATGTAAAGCATTTAAATGATGCGGATGAATTTTTAAAAGTCAAGTGACTCATTATTTCTCTAGTTATGAAAAAAAAGCCCATCTTCCAAACTGAACAGTGATGAAAACGGAGGAAGAAGGTGAACTGAAAGTTCCACCCTTCATCTACATTCAGAAAAGAAAGAAAAGAGGCTCTTGAGGTTCAGCGATTTGCCCAAGTCCCACTCACCCAACCACACTGCTGGTTTTCAAACTGTGTTCCCCAGAAGCACTTTAGGGGTCATTGTGGTGGGGAGTATGGAGAGGAACAGAAGACCAGGTCCACAAGGGACCACAGTGGGTAGGTGGGCTCCAGGGGATTCTGTACAAGATTTCATTTGGAAAGGGGGTCTGGGGCTGAAAAATATGTTTGAAAATCACTACCTTTACCATACTGCCTCTTAAGAGAAGTTTAAATATTTTTTAAAAAGTACAATCATCTCTAAAATGCAGGAAGTTTTTAAAACTTGAGCAGTAAAAAAAGACATAATTGTTTTTTTATGTAGTTAACATATATATGAAACATGTAATGTGTATGTGTATATATACATATGTATGTGTATGTATACATATACACATATACATATGTGTGTGTGTGTGTGTGTGTGTATTTTTCATGTAGTTAGAGGAAGAGGAAGTGAAACTTGGGTTTCGTGCAGTCCAGTCTCCAGGTTGCCCACATAGATGACCCAAGGGTCAGCCACTCTAAAATAAATGTGTGAATGCTTCAACACAAACCTACTACCAATTCAAAGTATACAGACTCCAGGCAGGACCAGTGGTGGTCAATATTCAACACTGTCTAAGTAGACAATACTACGGAATCTTCCTTTCAATTCAATGTTATAGACATTGAGATGTAATTATACTCACAAGAAGACCTGAAACATCAGAATACTTCTTAGCTGGCTTGAAGGATGGAGGAGCATCAATACTGAAGTCTGGAGTAAAAAAAAGGAAAGAAAGAAAAGATAACTAAAGTGGCTTTTAAACATTCCGATCCCTTCCTTTTTTATCTAAATTTTACTTTGTAATTATGCACTTATAGAATTCTGTGAGGCAATAATAATGCACTATGCCATAGACCAAGTGCAGGCTCCGGATCCAGCTTTGCGCTGGCCCCAGGGACCCTCTACTCCAGCAGAACCACCAAAAGCTCATCTGCCCACAAGCCACTTTCACTGTCTCAGGCTACATGGGCTGACAGGGATGAAATGCCAAACCACCCATTTCCTGGATGTAAGCATCCAGACACGGGAAGGTCCACACCCAGACAACTGACTAGCTCCGTCGTCAGTGGTCTGAGTCACCCTGTGAAAGACGTGCAGTGGGACAGGAGGTGAAGGAGACTTTTACCTGTACTTTCCAATGAAGCTGAAAAGAACATATAACAGTGCTTTACATAGACTTGGAAATACTGTAGCATAAAGCATTTACTCTGAAAAACACCAGCTCAGATTGTAAAACAGAACTGGCCTTTAAGTTGGTCCATAGAAAACATCCTAAATCTTAGGCAACCTTGTTCTTAGAAACAAAGTTTAAGACTAGACTTCTGAATAAGTTTGTCAAACAGAAACACCAATATTATCATATCAGGACCCGTTTCTCCAGATTGAAATGCTAACAGTAACTCTAAAAACCACTCATCCATGGCAAACAAACAGATTCAACACCGATACAGTTATAAAGAAATGTACATACAATTTCCCTATATTGGTACCATTATAAAATTCCTAAGCTAAAAATTGTTTCCTACATTAACGCAAACACAACAATGTAGGTTTGTTATAAGAGAGTTCCTCATCTGAACATTATAAACTCATAGAAGGCTTGAGACAGCTCACAGTTAGGATCGTTCAGTTGCCACGGCAATGCCCTTTCAGATGCAAGGATTTGTTTCAGGTTCTTCCAGGTTCTATTCTTCTTGCCAGCTACTGCGCCACCATGGCCTGAGTGCTCAAATTAAAAGCATGGATTAGAAGACATAAAAATCAATGGAAACTGCCATTTCAGAATCTGACATTTATGACTATTCATAACTGCATTCTGTCATAACCCTCCTTCTGTCAGCAATCACTTGTACCCTTAAGGCTTTTTTTTTTAAAGTATTACACTGTACACTTTAGTCTTACTTATTACACTGTACACTTTAATCGTACTTATAAAAAAACAATGCTTTTGGATTGTCAAAACCCACGAGTTAGTGAGTGATGGAGTAGAAATAAAAGGCTTTTTGGGTTTTTTTTTACATGCACATAAAAAAGTCATCCTTTATTGGGTCTAACTTTATGGAATTCACTCATGAATTTCTCATTACTTTCAAATAAATGTACTACCAAGTTAGATTTAAACTCATGACCACATCCCTAAACTCCCTTCTGAGGGCAAGTCTCTGCCTTGGAAATTACTGGTGATCCTGGAAAACCCAAGTAAGGCACAATCATGGCAGGCAAGACTTCTGGAAATTTTTGTTTTCTTTTGTCCTATTAGGATGACAAAATAAAATAGAAAAATACCAAAATCTGTCACAGGCATTGGCAGTATTGTATTTTTAAAACTAATTAATGAAAAATAAACTTTTAATGATGTAATCTGAATCACTAATTTATTATATCCCTTGGGAACAAAAGGAAGAGTGGCCTGTTTCTACTTTACAATACAATAGCTTAGATTTACTTAAAGGAAGCATCTTTCTTCTCTTGACCCCACCCCTCCCACAACAGCCCATGACAGAGAAGGTGGCAACTGGATTGAAGGGGAAGGGGACACCAGTGCTACCTGGTCTGAGGCCCAGCATGATCAGAATCCAAGGTATGGTTGTTTGGTTTTTGTTTTTTTGGGGTTTTTTTATTGGGGAACTGGGGAAGGGGAACAGTGTTGGGGAATTGGGGAAGGGGAACAGCCAAGTTATTGTCCTTCACTCTTAGTTGTGGAGGGCGTAGCTAGCTCAGCTCCAAGTCCAGTAACCATCCGGCTGCCTGTAGGCAGTTTGCAGCTGCTCAGCTCAAGGTGCCGTGTTCAATCTAAGTTGCAGGTGGGCATAGCCCACCATCCCATGCAGGAGTTGAACCGGAAACCTTGTTGTTAGGAGCACGTGCTCTCACCAGCTGGGCCATCCTGCCACCTGTTGGCAGCTCAGTGGCAGCTCAGCTCAGGCGCAGCTCACTGGCCCATGTGGGAATCGAACCGGTGACCGTGTTGCTCAGAGCTCGCACTCTTAGCCAAATGAGCCACTTGGCCGGCCCCTTTGGTTTTTTATTTATAAAATACCTTAGATGCTTACCACAAAGTTGAGATCCTTGAATGGCAAAGGTTTAGCAGTTTTTTCCATAGTTCCTGTGCTAAAATCAGAGGGCACCATTTTATTCTCACTCATGACTTCCAAGCTGATACCCTTAAAATACAATAGGAATAGGAGGCGGTCAGTTTCTTTTCGATGAGTTCCCTAACTCAGATCTCAACAAGACATAAGATGACACCACAGGACATTTGAGGGAAGGCAGTGTGTCCAGAGCCCCAGCGGGTGGCCTGCACCAGAGGAGGTCACACCAGTGTGTCAGCAGCACCTGCTGTGCAGGAGCCATAGGAGAGACAGCCAGGACCCCAGCTGTCATGCTTTCCGGCCCCACTATGTGCCAAGCACAGGGACATGTCCTACCTGAGCTGGCTCATTTAACTCTGACAACCACTACAAGGTAGTACTATTTACCCCAATTTACAGGGAAAAAAAGACTCTCCATGACACCACGCAGCCCCTACTCCTGCTGATCTTGTTGAACTATGTCTTAAAACATCAAGACAGAAAGGGTCCAGCCCCTTCAAGAGTCTCATCAGCCACAGGAACCAGGCTAGAGCTGGTTTGCTTAAGTGGCACAACAGGATGCAGGCATTCTGAGGAACGAGAATAGAGGGAGAGAGAGGAGGCTAGAGGATCAGCTGGCTGTGGCCAGAGAGCTCTGCTAAGCAGACTAATATGCTTGAAAACAAAAAATCTTTTAAGCTAACAATCGTAAAGGAAAAACAAGAAATAGTAAGAAACCACTTCTGATTTGTAATGCCATTTCCAATCTTCCCAGACTGCAATAAACTGTTTCTTAATTGATATATAATTTACATAAAGTGAAATGCATAGATCTTAAGTGTAGGTTTCATGAGTTTTGACAAATGTTTCCACTTGTGTAACCCATGCCCCTGTCGAGATGTAGGACATTGACATCATCCCAGAAAGTTCCCTCATGCCTCTTCCTAGTCAATACCTTCCACCCTCAGGGGCAAACACTGTTCTGATGTTCACCACATTAGTTTCTTTAGCTCAGAAGAAAGTTGCTGAGATTTATCCATGCTGTTGCATGGATCAGTAGTTTGTTTCACTGAATTTGTATACTACTCAGCAGAATAGTATTCTACTATATGGATGTACCACACTTTTTTATCCATTTTCCTGTTGATGTAATTTGGTCATTTTCAGTCTTCAGCTATTATAAATAAAGCTGCTGTGAAATATCTGTACAAGCCTTTGCATGGACGTGTGTTTTTACTTCAAATGCTCAATGTCATTAGTCATTAGTGTAATGTAAATCAAAACCACAATGTGATATTAGGTATGTCACACCCACTATAACAAAATGGTTATAATCAAATACATAATAACATGTGTTGGCAAGGATGTGGAGAAACTAGAACCCTCATACACTGCTTGTGAGAATGTAAAAGGGTGCAGTCACTTTGAAAAAGTCTGTTTACCGGTTTGTACAGGTTAACCTGACACCAAATGAGCCAGGAGCTCCATGGAACCTGAGGAGGAAGCCGTAGCTGGCATGCAGGTAGAGAAGCATGACAGTCCCCTGCTCTTTCAAGAGGTCATACAGGGGAGAAGGAGGGAGTGTGGGCCACTGGCTGGGAAGCCATGAGGCAGGCAGGTCACCTGCCAGTGTTAGAAGGGGCCATTCTCCTGAGGAATCTAATGATGCATTAAGGGTGCGCCACACGACGTCAGGGAGGAAAGGCCGATGGGAGTGGGCTGTCAAGAGGCTGGCCTACAGGGGAACCTAAACTAAGTGAGACAGAGAGAGAAACAACCCTGAGAACTATGCAGTGAGCACACCATCAGAACAGAAGAACCGTGACAGCAACGGACAACTCAGGGAAACCAGGCGGAATGTGAAAGAGATTTCCTGGGGCCAGACACACTTTAAGTTTCGATTTTATTGAGTTTTTCATCAAGAAAATGACAACTTATATAATGTTTCCATCTAGGAGAAAATAAACAAACAGAACTGCTGCAGAAGCAAAGAGAAGATGCTAAAGGGAATGAAGAACCAGGCCCCAAGGCCTCCAATGGTGATTACAGAACCATCCATAGAACACACCGGCCCACAGTGCTGCCATCCTCAAGCACTGGCATTCGCTTTATCTCCTTCGCCTGAACCGCTGAAAGACCGCATTTCCCCCTTTCTGTTCATGCCTCTTCCCTGATTCCTAGTGGAGAAGGTCGAAGGCACAGTGAAATCCTGGGAAGCAATGCAGGGCATTCTTCTGACGTAGGCTGTTCCCAGGCCTTGGGAGACCCAGGAGGACACTGACAGGCAGAAATGCCTCACTGAGACCCGGGCAGGTCGTGCTGCCCCACAGGCCGCTAAGAAAAGCAGGGACCTCAGCAAGTCCTTCTGGGTTGGAAGGTTTGGGAGCTCAGCCAGGGCAGAGGATGCACCATCAGACAGGTGCCTCTGCCGAGAGGAAGGGGAAGGCGGTGGGAAGGGAGGGCGGAAGTCGGCATCACCGTTCCGGGTGGCGTGCTCGAGAAGAGTCAGGGAATGAAGACGGGGTACTCATGCCCTCATTTCCCAAACCAAGCCCTCCTGCTCTGCTCGTTTGGCCACTCCACCCTCTTCTCTTCCCTTGTCAGCGGGCCAGAGCCCCACTGAGGACTCAAGCTGAAGACGGGGCAGAGAAAGGAAGCCATCCTGAGGTGAAGCGAGCTGCATCGTTCCGGAGCTGCCTCTGAAACAGTGAGGACCCTCTTCCCTCCGACCAGCCTCCAAAAGAACAGCCCACTCAGCGCCCAGAACTGGGTTTTCTGCTTTTCTTGCCTCTTTAACTCCGCCCTCCATGTTACCGCGCCTTCGTTCTTACCCTTCCCCTGGGCTTCGGCCAAGCTGAGATTCCTGTGTCTATTAGTGAGGGGATGAAAGGGACAGACCTTCAGTCAAAGGGAGGATTAAGTCTGTGAGACAGGGATGCAATAAAATAAAACTTAATATGATGTAGTTTCCATATCAATAAACCACTACAGCACTAAGAGACTTTACAAGATGAACTGTCCCACCCCAAGACATGCACACCCTAAGAGGAAAAAAATAACACTCAACACTAAAAGAGTTGATGTCAGTCCCTGAGAAGAGGAACCTGGCCTGCTATCAAAGAAGCCATGCCTGCCCAGGATGAGATAAGTGAGTAAAGCCTCAGTACTACCCAATTGCACAGCCCAAATAAATGGCTTCGCCTCTCCAGGGAGCAGCCTGCACAACTGACTCGGACTTAAGGATAACTTGGGCATTCTGTCTGGTTACAAAGCAGAGAAACAAATGTCTTTTGTTTTAACACTGAAAAATCAAATGTCCACTAACATCTAATAGTATTCTAGATTCAAAGAGCTGACCCTAGTCTGTAGATTTTATCAATATGAACAGGCATTTTGAAAGTCTAAAATACCTTATATTGATCTAATAAAATTCCCCCAAAAGCATTTCTCTGCACCATGGGTTTGGTTACATTAGAATTGTAATTACATCGTCTAAGGTAGAGTGACAAGAGTGATATCAAGAGAGGCAGTCAAAAAAAGAGTGTGGACTCCGGACAGTCTGCCTGGGTTCCAATCCTGACTGCCATTTCTCAGCTGTGTGACCTTGGGAAAGTTCCTTAACCTCTCTATGCTCCTGTCTTTTTCTTTGTAGAATAACAATTCACAGGGGGTTGTTTTGAGGATTAAATGTGAAAGTGCTTGGAACAGTGCCTGGTATATAGTAAATGACCAATAAATATTAATTATTATTTATCATTTCTTTTACTCTAGCACGGTGTATCTGTTCTCCAGCCCAAGTTAACACCAATCATTTTCAAAGTATCATAACCAGAATGGATGGGAGATGGACACTTTCAGATTATGACATTACTGACCAATAAATACATTAGTTGCACTGAAAATACAAATCCAAACACAGAATTGTAATCCGGTGACAATCTGTACAACTCAGCAAGCATAAACACAGTAATTTCTCTTGAACTAAAGAGTCATCTGACAAAATAACAGAATTCTTTTAGTACTAATAAACTATTTATTACTATTTTCTAGGACTGATATAAAGGACACTACTATAAATGCTTTGGTCAGAATACTCCTGGATCCAAAACATTCCCTTCAACTCCTGAGGATTCCCGAGCATAAAGCCCTTTAAATTTCATCTATCCACTCAATTTTACTTTAGAAATAGAATGTACATTCTGGAAATTAAAACTCTCCTTCAGAATCCATCAAGTTATTTCACCAATTTCAAAAAGCACTCTAATGTCCATGTACAATAAATGTCCTTTGTAAATGTTTAAGTCCCATGAAAGTTTTATAGACACTACATTTTTATAAGACAAAATAGCTGAACTACTGGAAGTATGGAAATTTAGATAATGAAAGATCTGTAAAGTCCCTTTTAACTCAAAAAATTCAATCATTTAGAGTAAGAGCCCAACTTACAAACAAGTTCCATTTCGGGAGAATGTTCTAAGTCAGATTCCTTCGTAAGCCCGACAAAGGGAGTCTTATACACCTTTGACACAAATATACAATGTAAAACATAAAAAAAAAACTAAACACACACACAAAAATACTGTAAATAAACTATTTTTACTTTTACAGTTACCCTAAAATGGTGGTACAGTACAGCAACTGGCATATAGGGGATTGCATGGCGTGAACTGACAAGAGCAGACAGCTGAGCTACTTCCGCAATTTGTTCGCATCTACGAAAGTTTGTAATGCAAGGACCGTTTGTGTCTGTGAAAGTTTGCAACTCGAATGTTTGTAAGGCGGGGACTTACTGTATATAAAAAACACTCATTTCCCACTCATGACACCTTGATCAATCTGATACCTGTGCACAGCTGCAGCCCTGGAAGGCCTTCCCTACCCAGACCCAGACCCACCACCCCTCAAGTCCCTCTTCTTCCCTACTCTCTCCTCTATCATTGCCTACATGAGTCCTTATCTTCCTGCATCCCACCATATGAGGGCACCAACACAAGAGAATAACTATAGTCAACTTTGGTACGTGGTTAGAAATCACTGTATTTTCCTACTTATTTCGTGTATGTGGTAGTTAGAATTCTAAAATGGCCCTAAAGAATCCTGGCCACTAGTGTACACACACCTTCTCCCAGTTATTCAAGCAAACACTAATGTGGGTACCACTGTGAAGGGGTTTTGAAGATATAATTAAGGTCTCAAATCAGCTGACCTTAAACGAAGGCGGTTTCCAAGGTGGGCATGCCCTAATCACATAAACCCTTTAAATCTGGGTTCAGGGGTCAGGGACAGGAGAAATCAGAGGGATTTGTAGCATGAGAGGGATTTGACGAAGAGAAATTCTTCACAGCTGGCTTCGAAGATGGAGGTGGTCATGTGGCAAGACATGGGGACAGTGGCAAACCGCCAACAAGGAGACAGGGACCTCAGTCCTGCTGCAAAAGACTGAATTCTGCCAACAATTTGAATGAGCCTAAAAAACAGATTTTCTCCCAGAGCCTCCAGACAAGAAACCAGCCCATTCCAACACAGATTTCAGCTTTGTGATAGCCTGAGCAGAGAACCAAACCAGTCAGGATGAACCAACACTTCTGACCTACAGAACCATGAACTAATGTGTGTTATTTAAACTGCTAATTTGTGGTCATTTGTTATGACAGTAATAGAAAACTAATATATATGAACATTCTCTTCTCCTTGGAGATTTTTGGGAAGACAGGAACCAGCTATAATCCTTTGAAATGTCTTAAGCATACTGCTGGGGACATAACAGAAATACAATAAATTCTTGCTGATTGAGGGCTGGCTGAGTGGCACATTGGTTAGGAGTTGGCTTGGGACGCCAGCTCTGACCAGCAGGGCCCTGGTTCAGATCCCACACAAGGGGCAGTGACGCTGCGTCCTCTACAGCTAAGATGGTGAACAACAGCTCAACCTGGAGCTGGGCTGCCATGAGTCACCGGCGATGGCGTAGGCTGCAGTGGGGCTGGCCGCAGCCTGGCGTGCGCTTTCGTGAGCCACCGTGAGCAGCCGTCCAATGGGCAGCAAGCGACTGTCTCATCAGAGAAGAGTGCAGTGATAATACCAACATGGGCCAGTGAAGTGACGTCCTCCATAACTAGACTGAAGAACAACAGGACAGCAACTTGTCTGTTCCCCTTCCCCCAATTCCCCAATAAAATCTTTTTAAAAATAATAAAATTCTTGCTGATTGAACTGAACTGAAACAGAACAGAAAGGCTGAGCAAGGGTCATACAAGTAGGTAAAGGTCATCTCAGGAAGATTCCAGGCAGCCCTCTGGTCAGTACTGTGCTAAAGCCTGCATATGCTGTGGAACAGGGAACTAGGATGGAAGGCTACATTAGAGCAGGAAAAAAAAATAAATAAGGTGCCTTTCTGGAAACAGAAGCCAAGTTTTTTCCTTCCTCATGGGATGCTGAGGGTGGGAGTCATGTAACTGTACCTCATTAGTTAAACGCCAGCTGGGAAGAGGACAGAAAAGACAAAAGAATTCACTATTCCAGCGAATGCCCTACTCTTTCCAGCCTGAGGGTTTGCTGAGGCTGCTGACATGGAGAAGACCCACAGGGAGTACCTAGGCAGCCCATCCTTTCAGCGGGAGCCCTAAGGCCCCCAGACTTGTGATTTCCAAGTTGGGTTACTGGGAATTTCCAGCATCCTGAAGGCATTTGGCTACTCTCTGAAGCTTGCTGTGATAGTAGTTGACCAACGCTACCTTTAGGGTGAAAACAATTATTCCTCCCAATATGTATTGACTACATTCCTCAGTCTTGGCACAGTTGGGTATCAAAATGCATCATGCACATACTGGAAGAAAGTACTTACAATGCATATATATCTGACAAAGGACTCCAATCAAGGCTATATAAAGAACTCGCATACAGTAAGAATTTTTTTAAAAGACCCAATTAGAAAAAATCAGGCATTCAGAAGATACAGGAATGGTCAATAAGCATATGAAAAGGTGACTGATATCATTAGTAATCAGTAATCAGAGAAACAAAAATGAGATACAACTACAGAGCCATCAGAATGGATAAAATTAAAGGGGGATGATGCCGAGTATTGTTGAGGATGTAGAACAACTAGAACTCTCATACTTTGCTGTTAAGAATGCACAATAGTGCAACTATGTTGGGAAATACTGTTCAACAATTTCTGAGTTAAATGTGTGTCTACCTTATGATCCAGTCATTCTACAACTATCCATTTACCCAAGAGAAATGAAAGCCTATATCTACACAGACTTGCACAGGAATGTTCACAGTAGCTTATATATATATAAAATCCCCAAACTACTGGGTTCTCAGAAAAGTCATGACTCATTTTTCCAACTAAAAACATAGAAAAAATACGTCATGACTTTTCTGACAACCCAATATAAACAACTCTAATGCCCATCAGGTGTGTATATTTACACAATGTACCAGATATATTGACACAAGTAATACCATTAATAGAATGAATGACTCTCAAAAACACTGTTTTACAGAGAAACGCCAACAGACCCAAAAGAATATGTTCTGTATGAGTCCATTTATATTGTTCAAAAATTCAAAAACAATCTATGGCAAGAAATGTCACAATAGTTGGTTACCTGTGACAGGGAGAGAAGACATGCCTAGAAAGGGTCACCAGGGAATTTTATAAGGCTCTTATAAATACTATCTTCATCTGAGTGGTAGTCACATAAGTGTGTACATGTATAAAAAGTCATTGATCTGTATTCCTTTGTGCATTTTACTGTATGCAAATCACACCTCAATAAAGTCTTTTTAAAGGGGGGAGAAGCACTATTAATAACCTATGGAAGAAACGACAGGCAGTTAACATCTCTAAAACATTTTTCTGGGTGAATGATGCCCACACCATGTGGCTAGGGAGGACACAGTAACACACTCCATCTTTGCTCTCATATTACTTTAAATAAAATACAGGAACCAAGACAACAGTCATCTAACCACGCCACTCCTCTGCTGAAAATTCTTCGCTGGAATTTTGGAGCCTAAAAAAGTTTTATCTGCAACAGGGACCAACCTACCACAGAGGTGAGGCCACAAATCCCAGCGCACGCCCCCTAACGCCCCTTGCCTTGCGCACGCGCCTACTACGTAGCGCGCTCCCTCGCTCCGCCTCTCACGGCCCCGCGCATGCGCCCACGCCCCGCCCCCCGCACGGCCACCGCGCACGCGCAAGCTAGCGGAGCTACAGCGTACCTGCGCAAAGCTAGAAGTGGCCGATTTTTTCTTCTTACTGGCGCTATATCCCCCAGCGCTGCTGCCGTTGTGGGAAGGACTGGCTGGCCTTTTCTTGCTGTTCCGGGCTATCCCCGGAGTGGCGGTGGTGGCCACAATTGGAATTTGAGCCGCCATTCCTACCCTGAGTCTTCCTCCACCCCCCTCCCCACTTCTTTCCCTGTGCAGGCCCTGGGACTTCCGGCTCTTCGTTACTTCCGTCTTAATGCTTGAAAACCCGGCCTGGACTCCCAAAGCCTTCGCTGACTTCTCTGGGGCAAATCTAAAAGGCGGAGCGTGGTGCATCCAATTCCGTCAGGGCGGAAAGGTGTCTGTGGGGCAGCGTCTTGCTACTCTGGCTCTCCCACGTGCTTGAAAATCCCTAGTGATTGAGGAATAGAACATCTTGCGATTAAAAAAAAAAAACTAGACTTAAAGAAAAAAACAAAAAAACTTCCCACGTTAAGTCAGAAGGTGGATCAATTTTGATGTCTGTAAGAATAAAGGTAGAGTCATTCTCAGTGGATTAGACAGACCACCATGCTGCTAGCTTTCCCCTTGGCCACTGCCTTTGGCACGGAAGAAGTTTGAGCATGTAGGCTATGCTATATCCTTCCTCTCCCACCCTCACCAAATGTATACAAGCATAGACAAAATTTTACGTATAAATTTCAAGGAGTTCACAGATCTGCTAAAACCTGTTTATGAACTTTGGTGGCACACTCCCCTCCCGCTTGTTGTTTGCCACATAATACTCTGGACGTCAGAACCTTTATGACTTAAACTGTGTGGTCTAAAATTGGTTAATGTCATTTGGCTTCTGCTAGAATGTAAGTTCTATGAAGGGAAGGCCAGTTATATTTTGTTTGTTTATCCTTCCCAGGTCACTGTACCTTGCAAGTCATTGGTACATTATAAATATTTTTTAATGAGTCATTACTGACTAACCCTCTGCAGTAATGAGTTGAAGCTACTGTGTTCTAATACAGGAAAGTGGCATAAATGAATCTGGATATTTGAAGGAAATAGGCTGCAGAATGACTTAGAGGTGAGAGAAAGAGAAAAAACAGGGAAACTGGCTATAATATTACTGACATCTTTTCTCCTTTGTGAAAGGAATAGCCTACCAATGTTAAAGTATTCCCTCCTATGCCCCAATCTCCACCTCTATCCTCACCAAAATCTAGGCTTTCTTAATCCTTATCTCAATGACTATACCTCCAACCAGCCAGAAACTAGGTGTTGACCCTGGCTTCCTGGACCCACCCTCTCTCCCACCCTTCTCACATTCCAGTCAGCCACCCTCTCAGCTCACTCTGCTCCTGATCTGCATCCCTGCAACAGCCTCCTGGTTGAAGTTTGGGCCTCCATCTTTTTCTAGTCCTCCCTGACCCTGGGCCATCCTTCTCACTGGCTGTCAGAATGGGCTATCTAAGTCACAGATGTAGTCATACCACTGTCTTCTATTCTTCAGGGCCCTTTTACCTTCACATATAAGGTCCGTAATAACTGGGCTCTTCCCCCCTTCTCTTGCTTCATTCCCAACTTTTAATTTCCTCTGCTCCAGCCAGAAACTAACTTTGTGTCCGAGAGTGTCCATTGTTCTCTTAACTCATCATACTTTTGTTTCCATTATTTTCTCTCCTAGGAATGCTTAGTTCCTTTGCCTCAGTTTGGATGCTACTTCCAATGAAAAGCTTTCTGCCACCTTTCCTTCCCCTTTCTCCCTTATCACCCCCACCCTGTGCATGTCTCTCTGAGGTCATTGAGTATACAGGATGCTCTGCTGGGTACTTTCCTGTAATCCCTTAGTAAATATTGGGTTCAAACACCAATTCCCCACTTTTAAGGAATCAGACAAGTGGATGCACCACCATCTGGCTTCCTAATGCTAAATTCAGTTCTGATCATGTCTGATCCCTTTCCTCCTGAAATCCTTCCCTTGGGATCTAGATCACCACCATCCTTTTATTTCCCTCTTTCCTAACCATTTGTCCTCTCTTTGACAGCCATCTTCTACCAAATGGTTTCTAATCCTACTACAGGTTTTTTATTACATAAAAATACAGGTTATGTTGTCTCATTCCCCCAGCAGATACACATTTTTTCAGTTTCCCAGGTGATTCTAATGATAAACTAGGCTTGGAACCAGGCTCTTCCCATGTAACTCTTACACATTGGGAGTTCCTTGGTGCTTGGTCAAAGGCCCTCTACCCTTCTCAATCCATACTCTTTCCAACCATTTTACCTACTCTGGGCCTTCCGGTACCATCTAAATGCAGACCGCTTTCAGGTTTGCATTTCTTATCTGGGTCTTTCTCCAAAGATGGATACCCAGATATAAAATCCCCCCACCCAGATGTGAGCACAGAAGCTTATAGACATCTCACACAGCATGGCAAAACCAGAATTCATCATCCTCCCTGCTCTTCTGAAACATGTTCCTCTTTCAGTGTTTTCTATCTCAGTAAATGTCACCATTATCTACCAGCTGTTCAAACCAAAAACCTAGCAGTCACCCTTGACTCCTCCCCTTCATCCATCTCCGTGCTGTAACCCTATTTCGGCCACCACTATCTCTCTGGACTCCCATATCACTGTATTTGTCTCTTTGCTTCCACCTTTGGTCCCTCTAAACCAGTCTCCACATGCAATTCCAGGTTTCTTTAACAACATAAATATGCATATTCAGATCGTGCCCTCTACTTGAAACCCTTCAGTGGCTTCCCACGGACCCTAGAATGAAGTCCAATGTCCATAACATGGTTTCGAAGGCCTTCACAGACATCTCTCTCTCCAAACTTGCCTCTCACCCAGCTCTCTGCACTTCAGTTTTCACGTCCATAGTTTCACCGACCAGCTGTGCTGCCTCCTCCCTCAGGGCTGGACACTACTGCTTCTCCTGTGTGGAAGCTGCTTTTCTCCCAACACCACCCTCTGGTCTCATTTACTTCCACTCACCCTTCCTGTCTTGGCTGACATGCTATTTTTTTAGCCTTCCCTGTCTCTCTGGCTTGGTTAAAACCCCTTGTTCCATGTTCCCTTCTGTCTCAGTCATCCAGTACCTTTGATTGCCTGTTATATGTCAAACCCTGAGGAGAGAGACAAAGACAAACAAAACAGAACAGTCCCTGCTCTCGGAGCCCCCAGTCTAGCAGGGGAAGAGGGACATTAGATTTGTTTTCTCAGCTGAACATAAACACCCTGTGAGAAGTTGCCAGAGTCATCAAGGATTGAGTGGCAGAGCACCAACAGATGAAGCAACAATGAGAGAGGAAGAAATGCAGGGCATCCACTCAAGGGAACAAAAGCTCTGGGCTTGGGAGAAACCTATTCCACGTCTACCTTGGCAGCACCAGTCACTGCACAGTGTTGGCACATGTAGGGGCTGCATGTGTGACTCATATGTTCCCATATCTATTGGTGAAGATAAATGAACACTGATGACCTGTATTCTGCTACCTTATGTGTTGAGATGGGGCCCAAGCCCCTGAGCCCTCTCATGTACTTCCTCTCCAGCCTCCTCGCTGGTACCTGCTGCTCCTGTGTCCCTCACCAATGCCACACTTCCTTTGGAGAAAGCTGCTGGGACCCCCACTGGAATGCTGAGGCCCTCACTGGGGCCTGCCAATTAAGTAGCCTCAGCCTTGATCCCAGTTAAGATTTAATAATTAAGAATGAATAATGTGCTCAGTTGGTTAAGAGCTCACGCAAGAGTTTGAGCTCTGAGCAACAGCGGTTCGATGCCCGGCCCGAGCTGAGTTGCCGCTGAGCTGCCAACAGGTGGCATGATGGCTCAGCTAAAAAAAAAAAAAAGAATGAATAATGTAGGCCGGCCGAGTAGTGCGATGGTCAAGAATTGGCTTGGGATGGCAGAGGGCCCCGGTTCGGATCCCACATATGAGGGCCAGTGACACTGCCCTCTACAGCTAAGATGCTGAACAACAGCTCAACCTGGAGCTGGGCTGCCATGAGTTGCCAGCAACGGCGTAGGCTGCAGCCCCTGTGGCAGTGGGTTGCCATGGGCTACCATGTGTAGCCAGCAGCCAGCATGAGCGGCCAGCAGCCACAGTGAGCGGCCGTCCAGAAGCCGGCGACTGATCTGCCTCGCCTGGGAAGAGCGCAATGATGGTGCGAACTTGGGCCAGTGAAGCAACGTCCACCACCACTAGACTGAAGAACAAAAGGACAGCAACTTGTCTGTTCCCCTTCCCCCAATTCCCCAGCACTGTTCCCATGCCCCCAATTCTCCAATAAAAATCTTTTTAAAAAAAGAATAAAAAATGTGTTTGTTAAGCTACACCATATCATTTGAGACGTAGAATATCTATTTTGTTATCTCTTCCAAATCTCAGGAAACAGTGGATATCTGGGATCATGCTGCTGCTACTAGATGGAAGACACACTGCCCATCTTCTCTTAATAACCTGTCTAAAGTATGGTAGTCATTGCTCACAGTATAAACAGTGGCTGCTCCAGTTGATAGGGGACTCATGGGTGATATGAAGAAACCTAGAAGCCACAGTCAAAACCCTCAAAAGCCCCCACTCACAGTCACTGCAAGAGGCAGCAGAGTGTGCATATCATGAACTATGGGGAACAGTGGCCCAAAACAAACCCACGGCAGCAAGAAGCTGACGGAGCCCCTCAGAGATCGTTACAAAGCTGACGGAGCCCCTCAGAGATTGTCACAGTCCTCTCTGGAGCATGAGAGCAGCACTTGCCCTGGGGGAGGAATGTGGGAAGAATGTGGGGATAAAAGGCTAACCTCTCCTTGTTCTCTGGATATCATCTCCGAGGAACCTTGTCTCGCCACTTTTCCCCCCTCTGTCAGCCGAGTGAGATGTCCCTCCCAGGAGGTGCTCACAGCACAGCCTAGTTCCTTCATCACAGACCTTCCTACATTGTGAGTTCATAGGCTCATTTGGGCAGAGAGAATTTCTTCTTTGTCACAGTTTTCAGAGCATTTCAGGCCCTCCATGATGATCCGCTAAGTGCCTCATTATTTAAACAATCCTTGTCTAGGAGAGAGCTTGGGCCGTTGGGGGCCGGGGAGGACTTTGTTCACATAATTGTTTGTTTTTCATCAGAGAGATGCCAGTAATATTAGTCAGAAAAAGGTGAGTGGTTAAAAATAGGTCTGACCCTAACATTGGCAGGAGCCAGGGCAAGAATACAAGTAGAGGCGTACACACCATGTGTCTTGATATTTAACTGTAC